AGTGGCTACTGGCAGATCGAAGTTGATGAACGCGACCGAGAGAAAACAGCATTCATAACGCCTGATGGTCTGTACGAATTCAAGGTGCTGCCCTTCGGTCTGTGTTCTGCCCCTGCGACATTCCAGAGGATGATGGATACAGTGCTCTCCGGTCTCAAGTGGGAAGCATGCCTTGTTTACTTAGACGACGTCGTTGTCTTCTCCCAAACGTTTGAGCAGCATTTGCAGCGACTTAGATCTGTGTTTGCTGCAATTCGCACGGCAGGCCTATCACTGAAACCCGAAAAATGTCATTTTGGGTACAACGAATTAAAGTTCCTCGGTCACCTTGTTAGCCCTGATGGTATTCGGCCGGACCCAGACAAAACATTGGCTGTCGCAGATTTTCCACCACCTACCAACAAACGTGATGTGCGTCGATTTTTAGGCCTCTGCGCATACTACAGACGCTTTGTGCAAAATTTCGCAAACATTGCCGAACCCCTCACTCGTCTGACAAAAGACGACGTTCCCTTCGTGTGGGGCCTTGAGCAAACACGCGCTTTCTCCGAGCTCCAGCAGCGTCTCCAATCTGAGCCCTTACTCGGACACTACGACGAATATGCCGACACTGAACTACACACAGACGCCAGTAACATCGGCCTTGGTGCAGTCCTTGTCCAGTGGCAAGGCGGTGTCGAACGCCCTATTGCTTATGCGAGTCGGATTTTATCATCTGCGGAGGCGAATTACACAACAACTGAAAAGGATTGCCTAGCTGTTGTCTGGGCAATAGCTAAATTCAGACCGTACCTGTATGGTCGCCCGTTCAGAGTTGTTACCGATCATCATGCGCTCTGCTGGTTGGCGAACCTTAAAGACCCTTCCGGACGTCTGGCCAGGTGGAGCTTACGCCTTCAGGAGTTCGATTTGACAGTCGTGTACAAGTCTGGCCGGAAGCATACTGACGCGGACTGCCTTTCCCGAGCTCCTCTTAAGACAGTGTCAGGTGATCACGATCTCGACGGCCGTTTTCTCTGCGCCGTTAGTGTATCCGACTTGGCCGAACAGCAGAAGAACGATTCCGAGCTTCGACAATTCATCGAATATCTCGAAGGCCGTACGCCGCATCCACCACCAGCATTCGCCCGCTCGTCATCATCGTTCTGCGTCCGCAGAAATATCCTCTATAAAAGAAACTTCGACCATTACGCGACTGAGTACCTGCTCGTTGTCCCGCCAGCGTTACGAGCCGATGTCTTGTCCGCCTGTCACGATGAGCCTTCCTCAGGCCACTTGGGATACACACGTACCTTGGCCCGGATTCGCCAACACTACTACTGGCCTAAGCTCAGTCGAGACGTTAAGCATTACGTGAAGACGTGTCACGAGTGCCAGCGCCGTAAAGCACCACATCAGCGCCCAGCCGGCTTTTTGAAGCCCATCGCTCCTCCGACACAACCGTTCCAACAAATAGGCATGGATCTACTCGGACCTTTTCCCAAGTCTCGTGACGGCAACCGCTGGATTGTAGTCGCTACTGATTACATGACGCGCTACTGCGAAACGAAGGCATTACAGCGTGGCACCGCCATTGAGACTGCCCACTTTTTTATGAAAAACATCGTCCTCCGACATGGAGCACCAGCAGTTGTCATAACTGATCGTGGCACAGTTTTTACCGCCCGGATGATACAAGACGTCATGCAGCTTAGCGGCACATACAAGCATGCTAGCATCTGTGGAAATAATAGTTTCAGAACTTGTACTAGTGGCAATATATATATATCTACGTCAAGCTACAAAAACGAGGACAGCGGAAATTTAAAAAAAGGAGGAAGAAATGGCAAGGAATAAACTTCCAAACTTCTGCGAGCTATACACAGACAATTCAGAGGACCCTCAACTAGTGGTCGTGCCACAGTTTGGTAGCACGCATAAAATTTTAAACGACCGGCCAAGAGGCTCTACTAACACACAACACAGCATAGCAGAAAACCTAATTAACCTCTAATGTTCAACTTAGCAGTCATGAACGAACAGTAATCTCCCGCGGACTCACTTTTGTCCCACTACTATACAGCCTATACAATCTGTTCTCCTTATTACATGACGTCGATAACTTCGCACGGAATCTTTGCCTGCAGAAATACTGTTTCGACAAACCCCAGAGAGAAACCAGTACCATAATACCTTTTAGTTCAAGGTAACAGTGGACACAAAGCTCTCAGATGGAGAAGAATCTAAATACCTACATCGAAGCCATTCAAAAACCTTCAAAAAGACATACTTTGGGACTATAACACACAGAAACTGGCAGCAGCCCGAAACCTCTCAAGAAAGAAGTATGAAGCACTTAAGGCTCCCAGAGATCGAACGGATATCGTCATAAAACCAGCTGATAAAATGGGGGAATTGAAGTATTAAATGAATCCGACTATATCCAAGAGGGCGCCCGCCAATTAACCAACACTTCTTTCTACAAATAACTGGATAGAGATCCAACCCTAGAACACCAAGCAATAATAACCGCCGCACTCGATGATCTGGTAGAACTCGGAAAGTTAGATCCTAAACTCTCCAAGGCACTTACTGTAGCACGTGCCAAACTTGGACAGATTTTATATGCTTCTGAAAATACACAAAACACGAAACACCGACCGAGCAATAATTTTAGAAAGACGTACCCTCACTGAACCATTGTCAAGTTACATAGACTCCCTAATTAAGAACATACCTCCTACACACCCCTGTTACCTACGTGATACCCACCGCCCCGCCGCGGTGGTCTAGTGGCTAAGGTACTCGGCTGCTGACCCGCAGGTCGCGGGATCCAATTCCGGCTGCGGCGGCTGCATTTTTAAAGGAGGTGGAAATGTTGTAGGCCCGTGGGCTCTGATTTGGGTGCACGTTAAAGAACCCCAGGTGGTCGAAATTTCCGGAGCCCTCCACTACGGCGTTTCTCATAATCAAATGTTGGTTTTGGGACGTTCAACCCCCTTATCTATCTACGCGATACCCACTACCTAATTAGGACGATCAAAGATCTAACAATTCATGAGGATGCCTTCCTTGTAACTCTTGATGTAACTTCTGTTTACACCAGTATTCCACACAGTGGTGGCATCAAAGCATTAGTAGAGTCCTATAGTTCACATAAATCTGATGTCTCACCAAACCCAATAGTCATTAAAACCTTTGCTAAGTTGGTGCTTCAACTCAAGAGCTTCGAATATTATAACCAATACTACTTACAAATTGATGGCACGGCTATGAGGACTCGTATGGCATCTAACTACGCAAACATCTTCATGAGTGGAAGGGGTTAGTTAGCCTGAGGAGTGAAACTTCAGGACTTATCACTGGAATGTGCTTAATTTAGCCACCGGGACAATTTACCGACCTGGACCCAAAAAATGGCTGAATTTTATGTATAGAAACGAGCGCTGGAGCTTCCAGGACTCAGCCTGACGGTGAGAGCACGCACTACTCAGATGCTCCCGCAGACGAGAGTGGCGGCAGGTATAGGCGGTTCGTGCGCACATCGCCGTAACAAAACCAAAAGGCGCTGGCGCTGCTGCTGCGTATTCAAGTGCAACAACATATAAATAGAGGGGGGACGTATAGAGTAATTGGAGGACGTAGAAAGAGAAGGTGGCGTTGTTCAAGTGGTCAGGCGAGCAGAATTCTGCTCTCGCGCTCCTGTCTAGTGCTGTCGAATGGGACGTGTCTTCTATATTTATTCGGTAGTGAAGACGGCCACCAGTGAAAATCAGGGCCAAACTGTCGAGTTCAAACGGCGTTTTGCCGGAAATAGAACGAGCGTTTTATGCAAGATATGGCCTATGTAAACTTTCTTTATCTGGTCCGCTGAGCAACGAGTTGCGCTTCAGGACTAAAAAAATTCCATGCGTCCATTCATTTGACCACCACCACAACGCCCCATCAGATGCCAAAGTGAATGATACCTTAGGAAGGTAGTCCTTTTTTTGTAAGCAGTTGGGTGTAAGGAAAACTAGCTTGTCCACAAGACTTCTGTGGGGCCACGTTCACCAACGCCTCTTAGCTGATATAAAAGATACTCTCACAGTGAACACTCGATACCGAGATGCCACTGTGTAACTTAATTTGTGCAAAAGAGAGGGTTCTTGTAACGAACAAAGCAGCGGACTACTCGAAGGTTAGCTTTCTGAAGTCAGCCGATGCGGTAAGCGTTTTTCTCAATGGCTGCCGTGGCTAAGTAACATCGGAATTTAGGCCTTGCTAGAGAACTATAAATGTCTTCAATTTTCCCTCATTCGTTAGATGGCCTAACACACAGTTTCGGTTTTTCCGCTTGCCTGTGTCGGCTTAAAATGAAGATGTCTGTTCAACGCCGTTAATTGCTATAGGCGTTCATGTGCCAAACAAGATATCATTCGGAGGTACGCTGTAGTGCGCGTATCAAGATTGTGACTGCTTGCAGTTGTCCAATCTTATATCTTGGTTCACGGGTGTTCTTCCTATATTTCACCCCCATCAATGTGCGGCCGCTGTGGTCGCTAATACATCCCGCGCCCTCAAGAATAGCAGTGTGACACCACACCTGCTATGCTGCCACAGAGGTCAGATTAAATCAGTTTAAAATCTGCACTGGTACTCACCTCTTGTGTTCATAGTCTAAAATTTCTTGCGCTGAGCAGTTTGATAAGGACAGGTACATCAAGGATCATGCCGCTAGCTGATGTGTGCATATAGCATAAATCTGCGACGCACTGGCGTGCACTGGTTCACTTTGCGCCATTCTCACCGAGTAGGATGTGCCTCGGTCTCCCTGTTTCTTAACACATATCGCACCTCATCCTCAGCATCCCCCCCTCTTCGCTATAGTCATGGGACTACTTCTTTAATAAAACTGGTTCCTTCATCTTCTTAGCAGACAAATCGCTAAAGCTAATCACAAAAAACATTTTTTTTCTAGCTACAAATTATCCGTCTGGTCATTTTCAGTTTTAATGATCACGCTGTGTTTTAATACACAGGAATGGCAAATAAGGGAAAGGCCTGCAGGAATGGCAAAGCTGCCTTAGGGTTGGACCGGCCTGTTACCTTTTCCGGTGTCCAGACGTCGGCTCATGAAATCGCTCATTTGTAAGTACCTTGAGGAGCTCAAAACGCTTGCGACTTAGGATACGTATTGTGTGTTGACATGGTGTTTACCAGCCGACGGAATAATTGGCTACATAGTAGCCTTTAGAATTTGCTCATTAATTGAATACTAACGTTATCTCAGCAAACGAAGATAATGTAGAGTACAATAAGCCAACCACTTGATTTTGTTGAGCAATAAAAAAGACGCTGTTCAGCACGACACACTTGAATATATGACACGCATGTCATAAAATTCTACACAAAGTTCCCCCTAATAAACCATTTGATTTTTACTGCTCGCTTCTAATCTTCCTCTTCCTTTTAATCTATACTCGTGTTTTTATCACGCATTAAATATATTGCGGATGTGTACCGGTATACACTGTACAATACATTTTTCCAGTATTATGGGGGTAGTGAAGAAGAAGCATATATGATATGAAGGAAATGCTGCGGTTTCTGGGCTACGTATCTATGCATAAGGAGAGCAAGAATCTTGATTGAAGGTTTACAAAATATTTCGGACCATCCTCGCAATGTACATGAATGTAAAAAAGAGAGAATAATGTCAGTGTTAAAGTATGGATATTAGATCTGGAGTACCGGCAGGGAGCACGTTAGCAGCCCGAACTTTGTAAATTATTTTTTGATGAATTCGGGAGTTGGAGAAAATCGAGTGTATCTGGGATGATAACTAGTAAAAGGAGTATATTAAAATGAGAAATACAGGGCTGTGATTGTCAATATGTACATTATATAGTTTATGTTTCTTCTTAGAAACTCGAATTGTTATCTTAGCTTTGGGATGACACCATTAATGCACAGTCTGTTAGTGCATGGTTGAACAACTGCATGGTGTATCAACACAACGAAATAGAGCCCCTTTCTATGTTTTTTCAATTGATTTTTCCTTCTGTAGCAAAACAATCATTCATTGCTGATATGAAATCAGCGGCAAGTTTGCAGCGCCTTCACCTTTCAAGGTGACTACTGGCCTCTTGCCTAATCGCTTTAAGGGGGATGGCGTTATCTTGCCAGCAGTTCCATATCATCAATGGGTGCTTGTTTTGCTCGCCGCGAGATGACGCGAAAAGAGACTGTGGTTGCTTTCGCTCCAACTTCGGCGCGCTGCCAGCGGCCACTGGAGGGCGTATATAGGCCTCGTGCTCCCGTGTTCCCTTTTATAAATATTGGCAGTGTTCATACATGCATATATCTCGTCTCAACCTATTCAGAATTGCCATGAATCAATATCGCAATTGTGAATGAATTTTTTACACAAGACATTCATCCTAAACACCACTCTCCCAAATTATTAAACTAGTTAGTCACGGGAAAAGAGACAGCTGCGGTTATACGGGATACACTATATAGACCTGTGCTTAATTGCGTCTTGCGTACTTGCAGTGCATACATGTTAAACGAGCTGAATATGCAAAGTGCCGGCGATTGTGGTGGCATAGTTGTCAATGTGCTCAATTATACGCGAACACCATTGGTTCGATCCCGACAGGGCGGTTGCATATGGATGGAAGCGAAATACTAGAGGCCCGTGTTAGGGCAAAGCCTGTTTGGTTTAAGTGCACGTTAAAACCGCGAGGTGGTTGAACTTACGGAGCCTTTCACTATGAAATACCTCATAATGTCATTGTGGTTTTAGCTAGAAAACTGAAACAAAATATTCCTCGTTGTAGTAATAGGGTTGCGAAGCACCAAGATAGGTGAGCGAGAAGTTTCACCTCATTGCAACCTTATTTGCAGTGCGTACATCGACCTCATGTTTCTTTTCTGGTAGCACTCTTTATAATGAAACAAAATATCTTCAAGTTACACTTGCAAGGCGATTTTGATTGATTGATATTTGGGGTTTAACCTCCTGAAACCACCATATGATTACAAGAGACGCAGTAGGGGCGGGCTCCTGTCCTTCCAAGGCGAACGAAACATGCTGGCAGAGAGTAATTATCTTGCCCACTTTTACTAAACAGAACCACTTCGCTTAGGAAAGCAGCCTTCAGACTTCAGTGCTCACCATTTTCGAGCTTGCCTCCATCCAACTGCTGCAGTATAGCCTCATGCTACATTCGTTCAATGACCACAGGAGGACAACTGTATTTGGCATGAGGCGGATGATGAATTATCTTGTTTATTGTGCAGTCAGAAGTGACTGCAATGCTTGCTTCCCGTAGATAATATAAAACCCTTGAATTCAAATAGCGTGCACTACATTGTAAAGTAATTAGCGATGAGTTACATGTGATGCTCTTTAAACAGTGATTAGTTAAAGTATTATTATGCGGAGCTCATTGAACAAATGTCACCTGTTATTTTTATCTCATTTATATCCTGAACTTCGCCTGGGTAAATATTAACATTCTTTTTATACAGGTTGAACGCTGACCATGATGGTCACGGCACAGCAAAGAACTGCTCAGGTGATGAGGGTTACATAATGAGCAGCCCACGAAGGAACGGGAATAACAGCTGTGCATTTTCCAACTGCAGCAAGAATGACATCGCCGACTTTTTGACGTAAGCTTCCCGGCAAGACTCACAATACCTTTTTTTTATAGTTAAAACTGTACATAAAAAAGAAAATTGATTGCGATGTGTTGAATTTTATTGTGAATCAAGATAATGAAGATGACCTGAACCACAGTTGTAGTAAGCCCATAAACAAAAAGCATTCGCGCTTTTTGTTACGGTGACAGAGTCGAAACAAAATAGTAATGTTCAATTACCTGACAATAAACCAGTTTGTCCTGGCTAGGCGGGTAACCACCAATCAAACTGGTTTTTTTTAACACGAAACAAAAAATACAGTCTCTTCCATCTTCTTGTTGGACACATGCCCATGCCCATATGCTAAATTGTTTTTTTTAGGGGCGAAGCTCCTTAGGGCGTCGGCTGTGCGTCCCGTGTAGCCTGTAAGTAGCCACCTCTACTTTAGTTCTTGCAGTGTTCACTAGATGGCGGTACCGTCCCCTGTATGTAGCCACCTCTAGTTTAGTTCTTGCAGTGTTCACTAGATGGCGGTACCGTCTCCTGTATGTAGCCACCTCTCGTTTAGTTCTTGTAGTGTTTACTAGATGGTGGTACTTGTAGCTGATGATGAAAAGATGGAAGATGTTATAAACTAGAAAGCGGTACTTGTAGTTGATGAAAGACGCGAGATCTTACAAAATAGGAATGACGTCACATATGGCGCGTGTCATTGGTTGAAGGCAATCGTTCGATTTAGTGCGGCGACGTACGCTAGGGGGAGCAATGTAATAAAATCGAGTGGGCAAAATGTACAGAGGATTCATGGTTTACCAGGTTTACCTCCGGAGCTTCGCCCACTCATCATCATTCACTTCGTGGATATGGCGGAATTTTTTTGTTCTTAACAAAGGCTGTCATTGGTGTGCTTACTATAATCTGTTGTATATCTCTGTTTTGCCAAAGAACTTCGGGCGTCGTGTTGCTCATACCAATCTGAGGGCTATTTTTCCAACCTAAATAACAAGCTACAGATCCGCATTGACACGATGAGTACTTTGACCAACATGGAAAAGAATTAGTCCTTACTAGGGGTGTGGGATAGTCAACTTTGGAAACAAAACAAAGAATAAATCAATATTGATGCCACTGAATTGAATACGAATAGTAAATGAATGATGTAAAAATAGTTTTGAACAGTAAGTACACCATTTTCAAAACAATTATTGAACGCAACATTTTATTTGAAACAGTTATTCACAAACTGTCACCAAAGAATGTTCGGTTAGGTATAACTAAAGTAATAGACCACAATGGTATCGTATAGTATGAAAAATATTTATTTAGGTCCATCGGGGCGAACTAGCGCGTAGCGGGCCGCTGCCACGTCGGGACAGATAGGCCTAACCTGTCCACCACGTCGTGGGCCCATTGGACTGCAAATAGCTGCGTCCCTAAATCCGTACTGTGTAGCGCAGCAAAAGCCCTTGACGATGTAACGCTTTTCACCCGTAATGGAGGGCACCGCCAGAGCATATGATCTGAGCTGGCAAAGCCCGAGGAAAGCGCGCAAGCGTTTGACGTCTGAATGTCAGGGTAAATTTTGTGCAAGAGTGCGGGTCTGGGATATACCCCGCGGCCTGCAGGAGTCTGAGCGGCAATGCCTGAGGCCTGTTTAGTTTACTGTGCGGTGGTGGATACTTTCGCCTCCTCGGATAAAAGCTCTTGCAAAGCTCATTGTACGTTGTTGGAGGATCTTTTTTTCCAGAACCTCGTCGTCACAATGTACCCCAAAAAGGTAAACTAATATAAGTTATACTGCCAGGACTAGAGCTATAGTAATATTTTATGACTCAGGTTCAAACACTGCATTCACTAAGGCTATGAACGTCAGAGTTTGTCACTTACTTTAAATTGGGACATAAAAACTAGACAATTTTCAACCAAACACTAGGAATACAGTTAAAGATGTAATGAGGCAAGTCAAGCAATCATCACAACATGGCCTGCGCACCGAAACCGTGTAACAATACGTGTTTAAATCAACATATGCAAGAACAGTTTACGCAAATACAACACTTGCATTTGTTGCTAGGTATGAAGCTTCAGTTATTGCTAGGTGAAGACAGAGCTGATCAATGCGATACAGCTTCAAGATCGTAAAAGTGAGCAAGCGTAGAGATTTCAGTAGAGGCGGAAACGGGCTTCAGGTAGCCCGAAAGATTAAGCCTGGCCCAGCCCGTGGGCTACGCTCAGGCGGGCTGACGTCCTCTCATCTCTGGCTCGGGCTGGGCTCAGGTTACAATATTTTTTAAGTGTGAATACACTTTATAAGCAACCCCAAACCATCCACCGCCGTCGGCGGCGTCCGCAGTCTTCTCTCTATCTTTAAAAGAAAAAAGACTTGGTGGGCCACAGCGCGACGCTCTACCGAATAAGCCACGGACGCGACGCTGATATCGGTGTCAGTAACGCGCCTTATATCTTTAACGCCGCTGCGCGCGTCCCCCTCCCCCTTCGCTCGCTCCTCCGCTCTCCTCGCTCGCTGCAGCTGCGCGCGCACCCCTCTCTCTCGCGCGCCCGCCTTCACTCTCAGTCTCCCGTCGAGAGCGGGTCGTGCGATGGATGTCCCAGAGGCAACACTACCATCAACAACGAATGCAGCACAACCGAATGCCAGCACTGCACCCGTCGTTGGAGGTGACGGTACCGCGGTGGTTTCGCCGACGTTGGAAGACAAGGCGGCGCTGCGAAGGGCTCGTGAGACCAAACGTAAGCGGGCGAAGCGTGCAGCGGATGCCGAACTGCGTGCTCGCGAGGCCGAGTGCAAGCGGGCGAAGCGTGCAGCGGATGCCGAACTGCGCGCTCGCGAGGCCGAGGACAAGCGGGCGAAGCGTGCAAAGGATGCCGAGCTTCGCGCTCGCGAGGCCGAGGACAAGCGGGCGAAGCGTGCAGCGGATGGTGAACTGCGCGCTCGCGAGGCCGAGATGAGGCGTCAGCATCGAGCCGCGAACGCGGCATAAGAAGCGGAACGACGACGCAAGCGTCAGGTGGAGAAGGGCGATGAAGGCCGGCGTCAAGACGCCGCTCGCAATCGTCAACGGCGAGTGGACGTTCCCGAAGCCGTTCGAGCCAGTGAACGTGCCGTGCGGGAGAGGGTGCGAGCCCTGGACTTTGCTCGTCCGGATGCGCGTTTCAAACGCGACTTTGTGGATCGCAGCTTCGGTCACAGCTGCGCCGTGTGTGACCGGCTGTGGTTCGATAACAATCTGAGCTGCATTTCCGGCGTGAGGAACGAGACCAACAGGTTGAACGCGTTGCGAGTTCTTTAGAACGAGTTCGGAAGACGGTCGGGCGAACACCGATGCGACGACATGGATGCGCAAGACCCGCGGCTGCCTCCCTTCGGTGCGTTCCGGATGTGTGCATCTTGCCGAGAGTCCCTGCTTGCCGGGCGGATTCCGCCGTTGAGCAAGAGCCATGGCTACGCGTACCCGCCTCGTCCCGCGGACCTCCCCGATATGAACCCGGTGGAAGAGCGCCTCATCTCGCCTCGACTCCCCTTCATGAGCATCAGGCGGCTCACGCGGGGCACCCGTCAGTACGGCATTAAGGGACAGATCGTGAACGTGGCCATCGACGTTCCGAGCGTGGTGGAGTGTCTTCCGCGGCTGGTTCCCGAGGACGTTGCGATAGACGTGCACGTGAAGCGGAGGCTGGTGAGTCCGGCTACGTACAGGCGCGGACTGGTGAAGCGCGGTAACATCTTGGCGTGGTTGAAGCACCTGGAGCATGCGCCGTTGTATGTCGCTAGCGGCATGCGCATCGACTGGAGTCGGCTGGGAGTCTTCTTCGATGACGATGATGCGGCCGTTTGTGAAGGTGAACGCGCCCGATGACATCGAGACTGTCCCCAAGGTCATAGATTCGGACGACCCCGTGCACTAGTCATTGCCCTCAATGCCATGTCAAAGACGGTCTTCTTTAATGAGGAGGGTGAGCAACGACCGCGCGCTCTCTTGATGAGAGATGATTGGGAGCGAAGCGGTGAACTCGACGATGCCGCTGCCGCTGATAAGCTGATCGATCAGTCGCATATCCTGCACCTCGCTCCGGGTGAGAACCGCGTCCCACTGGCGCTCCTCATGGAAGCGTATGCGGAAGAGCTCGCCTTCCCCAAGATATACATGGGCGTGCCTCGCAAGATCATCGGTCCGCGTTCCACGCCATTCGCCATGGCCAGCAGCGAGATACGGCGCACCGACCGGCGTGGAGCAACGCCGGAGCACGTCTTGTACATGGCCGCGAAGGTGATGCGGTACAACGTTGCGGAAAGCAACATGATGTTTCGCACCAACGAGACCACTGGTTCCATCACACGCGAGCAGCTCGAGAGTGGCGGTAAGAAGTTCCTGGAGGAGCTGCTGGACCACGACCTCGCATTCCTGCGGGGCGTTCCAAATACAGTCCAGCACTGGCAGGATCGCAGGAGTGAACTCTTCGCAATGATCCGCCAGTAGGGCAAGCCGCACGCGTTCCTGACCATGTCCGCGTCCGAGGTCCACTGGGAGCGCCTGCCGCCAACACTTAAATTCATTAATTACACTTTAATCATCATCATCAGTAATAAAACTCCCAAGCATTTCCCCGAGGGTGAACATGGTTAAGTGCGAATGCACGGGGGTGATGCTATGAGGGGGAGTAAAGTTAAAATCCGTTGGCATTCGCCAGTGAGTTAACGTAAACTCCCCCGTGTGATGAAATTGCGATTCCCAGGAACCATTACACCATAAAGGCTTTATAGTGTGATTAATAAATATATTAGTGCGAATTAATAAATACACCTCATAGCATCACCCCGTGCATTCGCACTTAACCATGTTCACCCTCGGGGAATGCTTGGGAGTTTAAGTCAGGCGGGTCATACCAGATGCAAAGCCCGAGTCAAGTCAAAAATGTAGATGCCGTGGCGGAAGTGTTTTCCACTCGTAGTGCCTTCTCCGCGGCCACCACACTCCGTTTTTTTTTGAGTTCTCTTTTCACATTGCTACTTTAACGCAAGGGTAGAGGGTGAAACCACATAAGGTGAACTTTGTGATTATATATACATTAAATCTGAGGTACTAACGTTCTAGAAGAACCAACAGTTTAAATATGGTATGCTTGCTTTCCATGCAAAAAAAAAATATTGGCGATTCCGGCTGCCAGACGCGAGCAGCCGATGGACCTTCAGTCGGTCGGCATATCTGATGCAAAAGCACTCCACACTTCATCGAAGCTTGAACCATGAACTGCTTGATTTTCAACAACTTCCTCGCCCGCACTCGTGACCGAAACAAATTATCTCGAGTCAGGTCTGCTTCACAGCTTCGCTCTGCTCCAGCTCCGTTCAAATGTAATCGTTGCATAGAGTGACTGTTATTTGTAGTTTCCTTATGTTTAACTTTGGTATGGTGAATGGAATGACACATCATTGAAAAACGTCATGTTGTCTCCACAGCAAATATCATACCATGGAGCCGAATAGGGCCCATGGTATTATTTTTGAATGGAAGTGGGCGGGAGGGGGGGGGGGGTCTGATTTGCAGTCCATCAGCGTCGGGCTCGGGTGTACCTTCGACGCCGCCAGCGGGCCCGGCCGAGCTCGTGTTCTAAATTTCAACCAGTCTACATCTCCTGTTTTCACAGGAAGCATGCGGCAATCAACATCATAAACAGCACCAGTAGTCCCGTAAACACTTGCGCTGCGTTCGGATGACTACAGGAAATAAAAGAAAAATAATCTTTAGCTGCTCCAATGCTTTGTTTGTTTCGGTGTTCTCCCCCCGGTACGAATTATTCAAGCTATTCGGAAAATATTCATTACTTTAAAAATTTGTGGAAATTCGCACAAATGTAGTTCTTATTATTGGAGATCAATATACAACACATCGCCAGGCAGCTCTCTTCACCAGATTGTCAATATTTCTAAGAGTACTACTACTACTAATTATTATTGTTATTTGTATTTTATTATTATTATTATTATTATTATTATTATTATTATTAGTAGTAGTAGTAGTAGTAGTAGTAGTAGTAGTATTGTTGTTGTTGAGATTTTTTTTTTCCAAACTACGATGTGATAATGAGGGACACCATACTGAAAGCTCAAAAAAATTTAACCGTCTGGTGCTCATGGCGGAGAAGAGTTCAGCTAACTACGTGCGCTCGTAACATCTGGTGTGCGCCGATGTGCACCTATAGGTTTAGGTACACAGGCTAGTAGCATTTCGACTCTTCTGAAACGCGGCTACCGCGTACAGAGCAGCTCACGCTTCCGAACGATTGTGTTTGTCCTGGAGCCACAGGTAACATTTCCAGCTGCGTTCGTAACATTGCAAGCACTACTACACTTGAAAATGCGAATTACTTCGGTGGTAAGTATATTAATTATGAGTGAGCGATTGGAATCAGCGGAGTGAACATCGATTCAGTCGTTTTATTGCTAGATGCTTGAACCAATTGACTTCGAAAGACATACTGTAGGCAAATGCAAATATTTCATAAAATTACCCATATTTGACGTGAAACAGCACTCGTAGAACAATACTGAACTGCAACCTATCCTTGAGTCGTTAGGACAAACCCTATACGCATCAATACTTGTAACATCTTGAGTCCGAGGTATTGTCGGGCCAAAACTATCCGCTAAAGACGATGGAATTTTCACCATGAAAGAAACAGCTAAAAAAAAATTTCACAGTTAACAGCCATTCTCTTTGCCTTATTTGGCAAGATTTGCACATTATATATCTATCACTTTGCAGGTGGCGATATTCAAAATGTCTATTTCGAAAAGACGTATGCCATGTCATTTTTCTACCAAACAAGGCGGCAGACCTTCCAGGGGATGTAATGGATGGGCAAACATTCTGTACTGAATACTACAGGGAACCCAGATACTTGAACTCCACTTATATAAAGGTGAGACGTGCATCTTATATATTCTCTTAAATGATTTACAGGTGAATCAATGACGTTTATCGGTGTGTGGTACCAAACTTTCGATAAAGAGTTGCAAAAAATACAACGGTATGAAATGTATTTCAGTTTGAAGGAATGTGTTCTTGGCACGCTATAATATATAAACTGAACGAAAAGTGATATAACAAAAAATAAGAGACGTGGATGGCCTCAGCACCAACCGGTTCTATCACACATGGCAGAAATGGCTGCTCAAAACAATCGCTATTTTTAAGCATGAATACACTATGAGCTTTCACACCACACTGGCAAATGATTACCACTCACTGGTAGCGCTACATGCGACAAAGAGCAAAGACAAATGTTATGGGGACGCTGTCAAAAAGAACGTAAAATAAAGTGTCCCTTCCTATACCACCGAAGTATACAATGGGCAAAGACAGTGCGAGAGTTGTAACATTGGAAACTGAGACTGTCTTTACTGAGTTAATTTTAATCTTTCACAATGTACCAACTTGCTTTTCATGGCTGAAAAGTTACTTCGAAGATTCTTATTAACTACTTTCATTCTGGTTAGGACATTGTACCTTTAGGCCACCGCGTTATAGCTTGCAGGCCTGTATAAAATGCATGCAAAAGTATACACGACGATAACACCGACGCTTATACCACCGTAGTGCATATTTGGCGAGGCTGTGCAATGCCAGTGCACGATAAAGAACACCAGATGGTAGAAATTTTGGAGCCTGCCTTAACGGCCTCTCTCATAATCATCTCGTGGTTCTGAGACGTAAAGCTCCAGATAATATTATTAGGAATATAAAGACGATGGTAGTATCAGGCAGGCTACCCGGCACTGGTTTGAGGAAACAGGGAGTGCAAAAAAAGATCAGAGAGAGGTAAACCACACCAAGCGGGTAAATCGTAATCACGGATTTCCTCTTGCACGTGTAAAAAATGCCAATTGAGAAAAAAATACGTCCGCATGTATGGGAGGCTTTCTCAAAAGACCTTGCAGAAGCTCCAAAGTAATAACATCACTTTGCATTTTGGATTCTGAATGACTGTGGAATCGAGAGAAATCAAATGGCAGATGTGTTGGCAAAGGCAGGTGATCATTGTACAGAAACCCGCCTCTATTAGATACACTATAGCTATGCGACATACACCGAATTGCATGTCAGCGAAACATAAATTATACTCATACACCTTGTTCTCAGGCAGCTCAAAGGACTGGATATTTTAGGTTGTCGACCCATATCTTCAGCGCCGATTAGACTCTCAGCTCCCAAGACATATTGACACATGTATCGCCTGAGACTTGGAACTTCTTAGACAAATCCCTTTATATTCGGGGTTCACAATGCATGGTGCTTGCGGCTACGACAACAAGGTGTGAATCACGTGCTGCTTGACTGTCGAAAACACCACCTTAGATTTCGGCCCCGCGATCGCGTCCCCTTAACAGAGTTCAATGACAGAATGTTGAATCCCATACAAACCAGGAAGGTTTAATGTATACATATAGAGAGTGACATGACAGTTCGTTCAGGGCACAGAAAGCTGGGCTACATATAGTTTTATAATAGCGCGAGAGAAGGAGGACTTACGAGAGTAGCTACGATGTGTTCCCACCTTGATACACAGCGAGCTCGACTGGGCCCATTGGGAAGTGGCTACCCACTCCGTCCTTACAGGTGGTACCTTCTTCCAATCCTACTGGTATTGTAGATGCGGTCAGAGAAAGGTGTGCACTTACGAATGCGTTCCGCAGGCTTCATGAGCTTAGTAGACTGTTAAGGCAGGCATGTGCGTGAGGTGCAAGTGAAGGCTCTTACTCGTGTTTCCAAGAAAGCGATGACTTGCTCTTTTTTATGACCCACGGGATAAAAAGAATTAACGACCGACTTCATTTTGGACAATCACCTTCGTTTTTTGCCCCATAAAGTCGACTTTAAGATCGAAAGAAAAAAAAACGCTCTTAATGGCATGTGGAGAAGAGACCCCGATCTAAAGTTCGTGCGTACAATGACACTCCACGTAGATTCTGTCAGATCTTTATGCGATGTACTCCCCGTCCTCTAAGCCCATTAGGTGTAAGTTGTTTTATTTTTCGGTAATACATTAGTGTTAACTCGCTACAAGCAACAATAAAAAGAGGAACAAGAAAATCTTGTGCATCCTTCATGGATTTCTACTTAAACTTTGATTTCAAGAAGTGATGACTACGCTCGCGTTCTGTTACATCGCGAACTTTGTGAAACCAATACCAGAATTTTTCCGTCCTTCTAAACATGTTCGAACATGAGGGGCTCCATGTCACGGCAATGCAGGACAAGTAGACGGCCACGTGTGACATGCTGCTGATATGCCGGAACCCGGAAGATAAACAGATAAATTGTGCTGGCGAAGCGGCAATGTTGTGAAAACACAATCAGTGCTTCCTGTCACATAGAGCCTGACATACAAAACAAATCACCGCCGCCCGTAGCACCATTCAGTACGTCAGAACGCACACGACTACCACGTTCGTTGGAAGTGAAAGGGCGGGGCGCATATCCCCGTCAAGATAAAGGTAGACCCTGCCTAAGGGAACCATATGTTTTGAAGCGATAGCGTTTGAATCCCACGTACCAAATTATTTTGCCAAAGGTAGAAGTAAATGGTCGCTGTTTTCGCGCAGTCATTTTCAATAAAAACTAATTTGAAGGAAAAGGTATAGTTTCGTTACTCAATGTGACGGCCACATGGAACCATACGGGTGTGCCTGCACGGAAATGGAAATTCTTTCTCTCATCGAGAACTTGGTATAATTGAATTTTATGATTTGGAGCTCTAACTGTAATATTAGATATAACGTAAGAACTGAGCGCTATATACGAGTGGAAGTTCCGTATTGACATTTTTGTTTTGTTACAGCTTCACTCCGACCTAGAACAATGCGTATTTCGCTGCTTGGTATATGATACTCACAGCCATGCGAAGATGCAGAACCGCACGTCTTTTGCAATAGATGGGACACCCTGCTCTGAAACTGAACCGCAAAAGGTGAGAAATGTTTTTACCCTTCTAGGGCAAGTGGAAACTCTGAGTGCGCCCCTGATTACCCGTTCATGTGGCAAGCTTTCAAAAAGAAATATATGCAAAAAAATATTTCCATGCTTAGCGAAACTTTTCACATCTATGTAAAAGGTTTTGCAACGAAGGGATAGATTTATTGCTTTTCTCGTGAGTGTGGGACCGAGTGCGTATCTTTAAAGAGGCCCTGCAACACTTTTTTGAGCATAGTAGAAAATGCTGCCGATCGGTAGTAGAGGCTCCCGAGAACAAGCGAGCCAAACAATATAACGCAGCACCTGGCATGAAATTCCCAATTATAGATCAAAGTCAGCTAAAAATTGCTTTTTAATCTCGACATATCACTATTAAGCCTAAAATCACTCTTAGTGAACTTTAACAAGGTGCTTGATCGGGCTGGTTGGTGCTGCATGGTAGACGAAGAAAGTGCTTAACAGCGGAAACGACAGGAGGGGTTAGAAGAGACTGTTCAGCGCTCTGTTCGCGGTCTCTTCTATCCCCTCCTGTCGTTTGCGCTGTTAAGCCCCTTCTTCGTCTACCACTCTTAGTGAGCCCATCTATCAGCCATCGACTGATTTGAACATGGCGCGCTCGGTCGTTACAGAGATCGCCGAGGGAGGCCGGCACTTATCCACCAGTGCTCGCACGATCGCACCGAGAAAAAATCCGCGTATTCGAAGAAAAAAAAAAAGGAAAAAATATTTAAGGTCACAAGGCGTGCGTGACGATTTTTGTTTGGCCCTCGCCCACCCCTCCCTGCTTAGCTTCCAGCGCTTTTGCGGAACAGCAAAAGAGAGAATGCGTTTGCAGCGTGTGAAAAAGCTTTGTAACTCCGCTCGTACTGGACGGATTCTAAAAAAAATTGCGGTCATGAATTTGCGAGGAAATACACTTTTCCAGTGAATTAATTCAATTATTACTCAAAAAAGTGTTTCAGGGCCCCTTCAAATTATTTTCTCTGTTTTTCACTGCAACGTCTTTATTTAAAAAAGTAATATGACAGAAGTTATTAGCCAGCTCATGCTGTCTGTTCATCTGAAGCGAGACAATAGAAGGTGAAGTTCTCAATTAGAAAGAGCCCAGCAAACGACAGGCGCAGCTGAGCGTGCTTTACGGACATGCTCTTGCCTTCGCCTATTTGCGACTACACTTCGCCATATGGCGCTGACGCACAGAAACGTCGCAGGGCGCCAAACCAAAAATAAATATTGCTTAAGAAGAAGGTGAAGGGAGCTGAGACTGACATGTGGACAATTGGCATGATTAAGAAGTCCGCACTAGAGATCTATCGAACTTTTAAGCAGGAAATTGCCAAGGAAAAGATCTATAATAATACTCGGGTAGTTCTCCACTGTTTGAGGCCAGGACGAAAGTATTGCGAACAAAGACATATCGGGCCAAATACGAAGGGGTAGACACGGTATGCAGTGCGTGTGGAGAGGAAGAAGAAACTTCCGAACACTTGATAATGTTCTGTAGAGGGCTTCACCCTATAGTTAAGGATGACGGCGCAGCGTGTTTCAAACCACTGGGGTTTAGGGACAGGGAGGGCAAAATGGACTTTGATCGAGAAGAATAAACAGGGAGGAGGTTATTTGATTGTTGGCTAAAGTCAAGGCACGAGTGAAAATTAAACCCTTCACAGCAAAGTACGAGTCCTCAACCTCACTATTTAAAGGAAAAAAAATAAGTCTAGTTTTCGGTTCACTAAGTAATACGGCTTGGTGGCGTGAGCCACTGCCCGATCTAAAGGGTACAGCCCTATCAATCCATCCAACCATCCATCCGTCGCACTTACGCAAGATGGTTAAAGATTTGGGAGGCTGTGCATATGTTAATATCTTATATGATAATCAGTAGTTTCTGTAGAACAAATATACGCCACAGCAGTACAGCAACATATCTTCAAAGGCGTAAGTTAACGTTTTGTTACACTCATAAAAACTTCGTAGGAAAAGATGTCCCTGCATTTGCT